TGATTCCAGATTCCAGGTAAGGGCTTCCTTCTGAAAGGAAAAGAACTTTAATCTAAAAGAAAATGTATCTTGAATTTCAACCTTCCAGTCTGAAGAAATGAAAAGACCAATTAAGTTAGGTTAAGAGAAAAATGGGTACATTGATGCACTATGGGTAGAAGTGCCTTAACTTTTTGAAAAGATAATAAGGCATGACATAGCAAAAGCCTTAGCATTTATTCATCCTTTCGGTCAATTCCAGTTTTAGAAATGTACCCCAAGGAAAGACAGGCAAAGGCTTGGTCATTTGGTCATGGAGATGTTCTCTGAAGCCTTGCTTTTAATAGTGATTTTAGAAACAACCAAAATGTCCAACAGTAGATTTAATAAATCATGACACATCTATTCCAGTGGAGTACTCTTCACTCTTTAGTTTGAATATAAATGATATGACACAATGAAAATGTTTCTAATATATTAAAAAGAATAGCTAAGAAATATCTATTGCTAATTTTTAACAGAATTATTTATTTATTTAATTCCACCTGTTATTATTATTTTTTAACTTGTCGAGAGAGATAAAAAGGGAAAGAGAGAAAGCAAACTGCCAGGTTCGGGACTTGAACTGTGGTCGGCCATGTGGGAATGTCCGGTGCCTTAACCACCACGCCACCTGCTGGGCCTCGGAAGAGTGGGTTTTAGAGCTTGAGTCCTGAAAGTGCCTGACGCTCTCTGCGGCCACTGTGGCATCTGTTCAATTCCTCGAAAGGTTTAACAAACCGTCGTGGGCACAGGGCCCTGCAGACATGGCGGTGACCAAGAGTCCAAAATCCCTGCCCTGCAGACAATGGGGAGCCAGGGCAGGTGTGAGAATGAATGCGTCTTAAGATAAGGCCCCAGGGGGACCAGCAGTGGCACTGTAGTAATGCAACCGGATCCACACGGCGAAGGTCCTGGGTTCATGTCCCTGGAACTTCCTGAGCACACCAGGATTGCGGCATAAAGACACAGTTAAAGGACCAGCAGTTAGCGTCATGGCTATGTCACTGGACTCCCATGTAGCCAACAACGGTTCGAGTCCCGAACCCGGTGGCTTGAAAATCACGCAGGGCGGGTGTGCGTGTGTGCCCAAGATCCCGAGAGGAGAATGGAGAAGGGATTGTGGCGTGGCCATCCCCCCTGGGGGGTGATTTCTTACTTTCTGTCTCTCTGGCGAGCAAACCACCCCCCCAAACAAAACCCCTAAAAAAAAAAAAAAAAAAAAAAAAAAAAGACCCAGTTGAGGGGGACTGGGAGGTGGTATAGTGGTTGAGGTGCTGAACTCCCACATGGCAGACGGCGGTTCAAGTCCCAAGACCTGGTGGCTTGCTTTCTCACTTTCTCTCTCTCTCTGTGCATCCCTCTCTGGTCAAATTAAAATACACGAATAAGTAAAATAAAATAAATAATTATATAAGTAAATAAAGCTGCTATAATACTCGAGTATAAAATTTTGTATGAACATAGTATAATAAAAATTAAAAAAAATAAAAGAAAATGATCCCGTTGAGGGTGCTTACCTGCCTCTCACTCCTAGAAGAAATATATAAATAGGGGCCAGTAGGTCGCACGGTGGTTAAGGGCGCTGGACTCCCACATGGCTAACTTCAGTTCGAGTCCCAGACCCGGTGGCTTGCTTTCTCGCTTTCTCTCTCTCTCACTCTGTCCCTCTCTGGTCAAATCAAAATAAATAAATAAATAAAGAAAGAAAGTTAAATTAAATAATTCTTAAAAAGCATGAATAAACTGAAAAACAAAACAATAAAATAAAATAAAATCAGGGCCCAACAGATAATATAGTTATGGCACTGGACTCCCACATGGCTGACCGTGGTTTGAGTCCTGGACCTGGCAGCTTGCTTTCTCTCGTCCGCGCTTTCTCTCTCTCTCTCTCTGCTGAGCACAAGTGCCCTATAGCAACTTTAAAAATAATAATATACAAAATTGAAAAAAAAAAGAGGAAGAGGGAGGGGGGGCCCAGGATGAGTACCCCTAGAAACAATGCAAAAATCATCAACAAAATGTGAACAAATTATGGAGCCCATTAAAAGGGTATGACTAAGCAGGAATTATTCAAAGATGACTCAACACAGGAAAGTAACACAGGCTGGCTCTGAGGCCCGGCAGATCCCATATGGCGAGGTTTGAGTCCTGGATCCGGAAACATGCTGAGTGCATGTGTGTGCGGGCGTGCCCCAAATCCTGAAAGGAGGGAGACATGGGGAGAAGAGAGTGTGGCGTGATCATGCCCTCACCGGGGACAGCTTTCTCCTCCCCCTCTCTGGCAAGCACACATACTGTCTAGCACACACACAAAACTTACATACATATACACACACACATACATATATATACATACATGGTCGTTGAGAAAGTCATGCTGCATTTTTGCATAGAAAAACATACAAAAATAGCCATGACTTTCCCAATGACTTACTATAAGTAAATATACCATATTAATAAAACACAGGAGGGGCTGGCAGGTGGTGTGGTGGTTAATGTGCTGGACTCTCACATGAGTGACCATGGTTTTAGTCCCAAAACTGGTGGCTTGCTTTCTAACTTTTCTGCTCTCTTTGTTTGAATTAAAAAATAAAAATGTAAAAATATGCTCTTCAAACACAAATAAAAATTCATAGGCAAGATGTAGGTTGAAAAATATTCTTGTAATATATCAGTATATCCATATATCGCCAGGCGCGTGTGCGTGTGTGCCCAAGATCCCGAGAGGAGAATGGAGGAGAAGGGATTGTGGTGTGGCCATCTCCCCTGGGGGGTGATTTCTCGCTTTCTGTCTCTCTTTCTTGGGAGTGTACATACTCTATAGCAAAAACCTCTTCTAAAAAAAAACTACTGGGGGGCATGGAGCCATATGGAAGATTGTGGGATTGGTTTCCCAGGTGACCTGTATATGCCACCTCCGTGTGCCCAAGATCCTGGCTGGCTGTGAAGGCTGAAGTGGGCATGGGTTATGAGCATCTTTTTTTCTTTATTTTTTTGAGAGTTTTTTGCTATAGGGCGCATGCGCTCACCAGAAAGAGACAGAGACGGAGAGACAGAAAGTGAGAAATCACCCCCCGGGGGTTCTGGTCACGCCGCAATCCCTTCTCCTCCATTCTCCTCTCAGAATCTTGGGTACACATGCACACATATGCATGGTGTGAGTTTAAGCCACCCAGTCTGGGACTCGAACCATGGTGGACTGCATGGGAGTCCAGCGACATAGCCATTACCAACTGTTGGTCCCTAGATGACAACCATCCTTAAGAAAACTGCTTTTCTCTCTATGTGTCTCAGTATCTCACTCTCAGGAAAAATTAAGACAATAACCACACACACACACACACACACAAAAAAAAAATGGGGGCCGGCAGGGGGCATAGTAGTTAAGGGGCTGGACTCCCACATGGTCAACCATGGTTCAAGTCCCGGACCTGGCGGGTTGCTTTCTCACTTTCCCTTTCTGTCTGTCTGTCCTGGGTCAAATGAAAAATAATAATACAATAAAATAAATAATTCTTTCTTTTTAAGAATTATTTTATTTTACGGGACCAGCAGGTGGCGTGGTGGTTAAGGAGCTAGACATTCCCACATGGCCAACCCTGGTTCACGTCCTGGACTTGGCAGCTTGCTTTCTCACTTTTTCTCTCTGTGTGTCTCTCTGGTCAAACGTAAATAAGTAAATGGATAAATCAAATGAAAAATAATTTAAAAAAAAAAAGAATTATTTTCTTTTCCTTCCTTCCTTCATTTTAAATCTGATAGGAGAGGGACGGAGTGAGAGTGAAAGCGAGAGCGAGAGGGGGAAAGTGAGAAAACCACGTCCTTAACCACCACGCTGCTGGCCAGATCCAACATAGAAAATTCTTAAAACGAACAAACAAACAAAATCTAACATAAAGACGAACAAAATAGAATGGAGAGCCCAGAAATGAGCCTTCACGTATGGAGCTGCTGTTTCTTATTAAACATGCGTTTTCGGTTATTGCCAGAGACCATAGGCAGTCCTCAGTGGGGGCTGGTCACACCGCAATGCCTTTTCCCTCGTTTTTCCCTCTTCTTGGTATTTTGGGTACGCACGTGTCCCTGGCATGTTTCCTGGGGTTGATTTTTTAAAAATTATTTTATTTAATTTTATTTATTTATTTTAATTTGACCAGAGAGGAACAGGGAGAGGGAGAGAGAGGAGATAGAGAAAGCTACCAGGTCCAGGACTCGAACCACAGTCAGCCATATGGGAGTCCAGCGCCTTTAACCACCACGCCACCTGCCAGCCGCTGGGGTTTAAATGTGATCAGCCATTGGAGGATCTAGTGTCCTTAACCACTAGGCTATGGGCTGGCCCAGTCATGTTTTTTTGTTTGTTTTGGTTTTGGAGAGGTTTTTGCTATAGGGCATGTGCGCTCACCAGAAAGACAGAGAGACAGACAGACAGAAAGTGAGAAATCACCCCCCAGGGAGACGGCCACGTGGCAATCCCTTCTCTTCCTTTGTCGTCTTGGGATCTTGGGTGCACATGCACATGCGCCTGGCCTGAGTTTAAGCCACCAGGTCCGGGACTCGAACCACAATCTGCTACATGGGCATCCAGCAACATAGCCATGACGCCAACTCCTGGTCCCCTCTTTTAAAATATTTTTTAAAAAGCTTTTTGCTATAGGGAGGGTGCACTCACCAGAGGCAGAGATAGAAAGTGAGGAAGCACCCTCAAGGGGAATGGCCACACCGCAATCCCTTCTCCTCCATTCTCCTGTCGGGATCTTGGACACCCACGCACATGCGCCTAACGTGAGCTTTAAGCCA